GAGAATGACACAAATATTAATGTTATTCTATACAATACTTCAAGGTACCGGAGAATGACACAAATATTAATGTTATTCTATACAATACTTCAAGCTACTGGAGGGAATGACACAAATGTTAATGTTATTCTATACTTCAAGCTACCGGAGAATGACAGAAATATTAATGTTATGCTTTACAATACCTCAAGCTACTGGAGAATGACACAAATATTACTGTTATTCCATACAATACCTCAAGCTACTGGAGAAGGACACAAATGTTAATGTTATTCTATACAATACTTCAAGGTACCAGAGAATGACACAAATATTAATGTTATTCTATACAATACCTCAAGCTACTAGAGAATGACACAAATATTACTGTTATTCCATACAATACCTCAAGCTACTGGAGAAGGACACAAATGTTAATGTTATTCTATACAATACTTCAAGGTACCAGAGAATGACACAAATATTAATGTTATTCTATACAATACCTCAAGCTACTAGAGAATGACACAAATATTACTGTTATTCCTTACAATACCTCAAGCTACTGGAAAATGACACAAATGTTACTGTTATTCCTTACAATACCTCAAGCTACTGGAAAATGACACAAATGTTACTGTTATTCTATACAATACCTCAAGCTACTAGAGAATGACACAAATATTAATGTTAAGTAGCTTGAGGTATTGTATAGAAGGAGAATGATACAAATATTGATGTTATTCTATACAATAGCTCAAGCTACTGGAGAATGACACAAATGTTACTGTTAGTCCATACAATACCTCAAGCTACTGGAGAGAATGACACAAACACTATTGTTATTCTATACAATACCTCAAGCTACTAGAGAATGACACAAATATTAATGTTATTCTTTACAATACCTCAAGCTACTGGAGAGAGTGACAGAAATATAAATGTTATTCTATACAATACCTCAAGCTACTAGAGAATGACACAAATATTAATGTTATTCTATACAATACCTCAAGCTACTGGAGAATGATACAAATATTAATGTTATTCCATACTATACCTCAAGCTACTGGAGAGAATGACACAAATGTTAATTTTATTCTATACAATACTTCAAGGTACCAGAGATTGACAGAAATATTAATGTTATTCTATACAATACCTCAAGCTACTAGAAAATGACACAAATATTACTGTTATTCCTTACAATACCTCAAGCTACCAGAGAATGACCCAACTATTAATGTTATTCTATACAATACCTCAAGCTACTGGGGAGAATGACACAAATGTTAATGTTATTCTATACAATACTTCAAGCTACTAGAGAATGACACAAATGTTAATGTTATTTTATACAATACCTCAAGCTACTGGGGAGAATGACACAAATATTAATGTTATTCTATACAATACCTCAAGCTACTAGAGAATGACACAAATGTTAATGTTATTCTATACAATACCTCAAGCTACTAGAGGGAATGACACAAATATTACTGTTATCCCATACAATACCTCAAGCTACTGGAGAATGACACAAATATTAATGTTATTCCATACAATACCTCAAGCTACTGGAGGGAATGACACAAACATTAATGTTATTCTATACAATACTTCAAGTTACTGGAGAATGACACAAATAACACTGTCATTCCATATAATACCTCAAGCTACTGGAAAATGACACAAATATTAATGTTATTCCATATTATACCTCAAGCTACTGGGGAGAATGACACAAATGTTAATGTTATTCTATACAATACTTCAAGGTACTGGAGAATGACACAAATATTAATGCTATTCTATACAATACCTGAAGCTACTAGAGAATGACACAAATATTACTGTTATTCCTTACAATACCCCAAGCTACTGGAAAATGACACAAATGTTACTGTTATTCCTTACAATACCTCAAGCTACCAGAGAATGACCCAAATATTAATGTTATTCTATACAATACCTCAAGCTACTGGGGAGAATGACACAAATGTTAATGTTATTCTTTACAATATCTCAAGCTACTGGAGGGAATGACACAAATGTTAATGTTATTCTATACAGTACCTCAATCTACTGGAGAATGACACAAATGTTAATGTTATTCTTTACAATACTCCAAGCTACAGGTGAATGACACAAATATTGCTGTTATTTCATACAATACCTGAAGCTACTGGAGAATGACATAAATCTTAATGTTATTCTATACAATACCTTAAGCTACTGGAGAATCACCCAAATATTAATGTTATTCTATACAATACCTCAAGCTACTGGAGAGAATGACATAAATGTTGAGGTTATTTTATACAATACTTCAAGCTACCGGAGAATGACACAAATATCAATGTTATTCTGAACAATACTTCAAGCTACAGGTGAATGACACAAATATTAATGTTATTCTATACAGTACCTCAAGCTACTGGAGATTGACACAACTATTAATGTTATTCTATACAAAAACATATACAGCGTCTGTAGAAATAGGTAATGCTTATTACTAAATTTTTGTCAAACTTCTATTTATAGTTTTCCTCTTATATTTGTTGTTGTTGTGTTTGTGTTTCTCAAAGAACAGCTTCGCTTTTTAATAGATAATTATTACCAATTTCTGTTTTAGAGCTGAACTTTCTGGTTTTCTTGCCATTAAGAGAATTCGATCAAAGTCCGGCAGTTCTCGTTACCTTTCATGCACCACATATAGCACCAAATATTCATAATCATGGCACCAGGTGGACTCTCAAACCAGGACGTTTGTATGAGTATCACTTCTCTCAGGTATTAATTACTTTTGTTTTTTAAATGTTTAAAGTCGACACTTTTCATGATACTTTTTATCCTTTATTATCTGTTGCTCTGTCGATTCTTTTATGCATTATTCCCTGTAAGACTCAGATCATTTCTAGATAAATCTGTGAAATAAAAATTGTCCACAAAACGAAAACCAAACACAAAAGTTATATAGTGGGTTAATCGCACTTTAAAAATAACGATACGAAATGAGGACATGTATAACATATACGTATTTTATCATATTTTGCATTTCTCGTGTAATACCACCATGATAAACTTATGACTACGGGTTACTTCATAACTTTTTCTGAGGATAGACATTCTTGTAGTAAAGATATGCAAAGGTTTGATAATACCAGTTTCAAAGACTGTAGCGGAATCCTTTTGTATGTATTAGGTCATAAAGAAATTAATGTCGCCTTTTTTAGATGAAAAAACCCGAACAACCTATATATCAAAGCAAAACATTTATTAAATGAAATAGTCTCCATTCTTATCGATGATGCATTTCCATCCTACAACCAGGTTGTTACTGCCCTGATTAAAGAATTTACTGGTCTTTGAAGCAAAAATACATGTCGATATCCAAACACTTTCCATATTTGCATACGTTTTCCCATTAAGATGGTGTTGCAGCGAACAAAAAAGATGGTAATCTGATGGTGCCATATTTGGAGATTATGGTGGGTGAGGGGAGAACTTCCCAACCCAACTCCATAATTTTGTGTTGCGTCAAACGTGCTACATGTGGACGTGCATTGTTGTGGAGAAGAATAAGAACACCTGTCCAATTGACGAATCAAGGGCGTTTCTGATGAAGGGCTTGATTTAAACGTTCCAGTTGCTGACTATAGATCTCTGCATTGACAGTTCGCTATGGATTGAGGAGTTCGAAATGATTACTCCTGTGATGTCCCATCAAATGCAAAGTATCACTTTCTGCGGATGGAGTCCGGGTTTTGGGGTCGGAAACGGTTTTTGTTTAGGACTGAGCCATTGTTTTTGGCATTTAATATTCGTATAGAGAATCAATTTTTCATCACCGGTGACAATTCTGTCCAAAAATGGTTCACGCGCTTTACGCGCCAACGTTCACACATTGGAAACGATGATCATCGGAGAGTTCGTGAGGCAACCATGGAGTTTTTCAATATTCCTTAGATGTTTACGTAATGATTCATGAGAGACATGTAATTTCAGGGCCATTTCAGGAGAGTGTTGCCCTGGGTTAGACTCAACAAGCATCTTTAGAGCATCAATATCAATTCCAACATGTCGGCCCCTGCCATCACAGTTTTTATGACTAAAGTCACCTGAACGAAATTTGCTGAACTATCGTTAACACTTACAAACGTTCAAAACATTTCCATAAATTTCTTTGATATTCCTTGTGGCTACAGAGGCGTTGTTTCCCTTCTTGCATTCAAACAACATTGCATGCCGAATGTGTGTCTCGTCGTGTGCCATCACTATAAGGGATTAGAGTATTGTTACGACAGCGGAAGTCACGTGACGCTAGTAACACGCCATGAGTTTCTAGAAGGATCATGACGTTTCTTGGCAACTCTAGTCTTTTCTAGGCATCCTCTATTTTAGTATATAAGCCCGGCAAAATATCTGATAATTTGAAACTTCAGTGATACAAGTACTTTCTTGATTAAAAGTAATTTATTCTTTCTCGATACAACTTTTTGTAATACACAGAATTTCCACAGTCACTTTAAACTTACCAACCTTTATAACACGCGCTATAAATGACAGTGATTCACACACTTTACTTACGGTGCCTACTGTTTGCTTGACTCAGTTATCTATATCTCGCTCCTACCTATCTATATTTCTACAATCGCGCTGGTTTTTTCTCGCCGGGCTTATATATTAAAAAAGGGGGCGTCTCGAATGCACTCGAGACTTCATGATCCTTCGAGAAACTCCAGCGCGCATGCTCGCAGCGTTGCGTGACTTCCGCTTTCGTAACAGTATAATAGGTAATCAAAATCTTCGCTCGTATACGATGTATAAAAAGGAAGAGAAATATTGAATACTTCTGGATCAAATGTTTTTAATTTAACAGTTCTGTACAATACGTTTTAGTATTTTAAATCTATCTCAAGTAGCAGCCACAAAATGAAAGATACCTTAAATAACAATTCAGTGAACCCAAGTATTTTACGGGAATATTTTGTCAAATCAAAATATTTTCATGTATACAGTATTAATCTGTTAAAACAAAGACAATCATAGTAATGCATGTTTTATGGACAAAAGTAAACATGCCGAAACCGTATAAATAGTCTGAAATATTCACTTCCCGCAACACAAAAGAAATAAGATTCGGAAAGTAACTTTACTTTTTGTTAATTTACAACAGAGAACAGCAAACTTGCTGCCACCTCCGTATCACACGAACTGTACGAACTATGATAAGATTGGTACAACACCAGCAAGACCGGGAATTTTGGATGAACATGTAAATATATTTTCATCACTTTTTCATTCTAATGTGCAATATGACAAAACGAGATGATTTCATGTCATTTGGTAATAAGTGTTTCGCTTACAGTCATGTTTATTTATTGATGGGTCTATATGTTTTGCTGTACGTGTATATTTAAGAAATAACAGATTGATTTTAAATGTTTTACTAGTGTTGAGTTGACAACCTTCTTGTTTCTGGACTGGTGAAAATTTTCAACCGTGACATGACTCCATAATAATGCCAATTTTTGTAGGTTACGAATTCATTTTACTGTTATTAGAAATTCAAAATTTCGTTTGACAAAAGTGTTTTTATCGCATACAATGATTTTGTCAAACAACTAACAATGTAATTTCTAGAAAATATCTTATTACTTTTGATTAGATAGCTCTTGCAGAATGTCGCAGATATAATTCAGTTAATAGCTTAATAGCAATAAAGACAGATACATAAACGTAGAACTACAAAAAGTACTTTTTCTAAACCCAATTTGTAGCATTCAGCTGGTATTTTTAAACATGAGATGTATTATTGAGTAACTATACTTTCAGTTATGTTGTATGCTATGAGAGCTACTGTTTGTAGGTATTGTTGGTTATGTTGTATGATAAGAGAGCTACTGTTTGTAAGTATTGTTAGTTATGTTGTATGTTATGAGAGCTACTGTTTATAGGTATTGTTAGTTACGTTGTATGCTATGAGAGCTACTGTTTGTAAGTATTGTTAGTAATGTTGTATGTTATGAGAGATACTGTTTGTAAGTATTGTTAGTTACGTTGTATGCTATGAGAGCTACTGTTTGTAAGTATTGTTAGTTATGTTGTATGTTATGAGAGCTACTGTTTGTAAGTATTGTTAGTTATGTTGTATGTTATAAGAGCTACTGTTTGTAGGTATTGTTAGTTACGTTGTATGCTATGAGAGCTACTATCTGTAAGTATTGTTAGTTATATTGTATGTTATGAGATCTACTGTTTGTAGGTATTGTTAGTTATGTTGTATGTTATGAGAGCTACTGTTTGTAAGTATTGTTAGTTACGTTGTATGTTATGAGAGCTACTGTTTGTAAGCATTGTTGTATGCTATGAGATCTACTGTTTGTAGGTATTGTTAGTTATGTTGTATGCTATGAGAGCTACTATCTGTAAGTATTGTTAGTTATGTTGCATGTTATGAGAGCTACTGTCTGTAAGTATTGTTTGTAATGTTGTATGCTATGAGAGCTATTTTCTATAAATATTGTTAAATACACTTTTCTATGATACCTATTGTCTACTAGTTATTAATTACACTATTACATAATTATTCTATGTCTGGAAGTATTGTTAGAAATGCTGTACATTTTTTCCGCTGTAAGCAATGCTCTTTAATTTAATATATGATATACTTGTTTCTATTTAGTTGTGCGTGATGGAGTGTATAGAGAACATAACTTACATCGAGTGTGGAAGTTTTTGTTTCCATTCATCTCCTTTTTCTCTCGAATCACACTATAAAATTGGAAGGAAAACACGACTAGGTAAATTGTACCATTTCGAAAATAATGCTTCCTTTTGTTATAACGAAAAAAATTTAAAGTAAAGAATATGAAAGCATTGTTCTGTTTAACCGTTTTTTAAAATGAAAAGTTTAGTCCGTTTTAAGATTAGATGTTCTTTTGAGATATAGTGTTGTGGAGGTAACTTAGGATACATTGATTCAGTGTAAATTATTTTGCCCTTAGTGAAGAGTTAGACGTTTTTTATATCATACCAAATAGTTACGTTAGAATAAAAGTAACTGGAGTTCTGTCTGGATATTAGCTTTCAAAGTAATAGTTATATCTCTGGAAAGAATAAAGTGTAAAACGTTGGTATGTTTTTACTATATTCTATATATTCATTTTCAGCTTCAACAGAAAATTAAAGGCTAGGTTTTATTGTTAATTATTCTTCAACTAAGAGTAAAATCTAGAATTAAATATAAATGTATTTACTTAGTACAGTTAATTAGTAAGTTTAATTGATAATGTACTGTTAGTTAAAACCCGCGGAGAATGAATGTCTTTACATTAACAGTGGTCAGAAGAAGGGTTGACTAATCCTGCATGTTAGAAAGAATTATACTTGACAAAAAATAGAGACACTCAGCAAACCATTAATAAAGGACTTCCATATCACTGATACGTCTTATATATGTTGTGATCAACTAGGAAACGACGATATGAAAGATCCTGCATCATTTCTCACTCTGAACAATTCGAAGCTTTCTGGCATTATGTGGTAGGTTAAGGCATGACGTTCAAGGAGATTATATACACCAGGAATAACTACTCTTATTCCCTTATACCATAACAGAATCACCATCAAGACGATATATTCAAAGGTGTTGCATTGCGAATATCATAGACTTTCTTGCAACGAATGTATTAATCATTGTAGACACAATCTTGATCCTTTGGTGTTCTTAAAACTGGACAGCTTATGTTGTACATAAAAAGACACATCTATTAATTAAGAACGAAAACCTTTTAGAACAAAACCATAAACAAACATATTATTACAATCTTTGTGAGATCAAAATTTAGATAGTTTTCGTTTCTACACATGACGAAAATGATAATAATGTTATGTATCTGCTTGTTTGTTTGTTTCCGGTAGAAATTCTTTCCGATGATCTTCAACGTTAAAAGTCCTTTCTTGATTAAACCAGTTTATTCTTCCTCAATACAAACTTTTAGTACAAAGAAGTTCCACAATCAGTACGTTTCTCGTCACTTTAAACTTTACAACTTTTACACGCTATAAATCACAGCGATTCACAATCTCGATAACTTCGCTCACGACGGGTGAAAAACACACACTTTACGCTCACTGGCTCGAAACTGAAAAAACATTCTACAAAAGGATGCTTAACACTAATTCATTAGTTCTATATTTAATTACATTTTCTGATAACTTATATGTAAATTGTCATAAAAGACGTATATTTGAATATCACATAATGATTCAAAATTTACTGTTTCTCTAGTTTGACTTCATGATATTCATAAAACTTGACAAATTAATTCGTTTACATATATTTTACAAAGGTGAATGGTATTGTTACGACATGGAGGTAACGTGAATAGTATCACGCCCCGTCATTCTCGCACATTCCCGTCTTTTCCTTAAAT